TAAGGACCCTCCATACTACTCTCCATAGTGGCTGCACCAATTTATATTCCCACCAACAGTGTAGGAGGGTTTCCTTTTCTCCACACCCTCTCCAACACTTATTATTTGTAGACTTTTTGATGATGGCCATTCTGACTGGTGTGAGGTGATACCTCATTGTAGTCTTGATTTGTGTTTCTTAAATGATTAGTGATGTTGAGCATCTGTGCCTGTTGGCCTAGCTATTGGTATGTCTTTGAAGAATTGTCTAGTTAATTCTTCTGCCCATTTTTTGGCTGTGTTTTGTTTTTGCTTTTTTGATATTGAGCTGTATGAGCTGTTCGTATATTTTGGAAATTAACCTCTTGTTGGTCTGATCATTTGCACATATTTTCTCCTATTCTGTAGGTAGTCTTTTCATTTTGTTTATGGTTTCCTTTGCTGTGCAAAAGTGTTTAAGTTTAATTAGATCTTACTTGTTTATTTTTGGTTTTATTTCTGTTATTCTGGGAGATAGATCGAAAAAAATATTGCCACAGTTTATGTCAGAGTATGTTCTGCCTATGTTTTCCTCTAGGACTTTTAGAGGATCTGGTCTTACATTTACGTCTTTAATCCATTTTGAGTTTGTTTTTGTATATGGTGTTAGAGAATGTTTTGTTTTCATTCTTTTCCAGATAGCTGTCCAGTTTTCCCAGCACCACTTACTGAAGAGACTGTCTTTTCTCCGTTGTATATTCTTTCCTCCTTTGTCATAGATTAATTGACCATAAGTGCATGGGTTTATTTCTGGACTTTCTGTCCTGTTCCATTGATCTATATGTCTGTTTTTGTGCCAGCACCATACTGTTTTGATGACTGTAGCTTTGTAGTATATAGTCTGAAGCTGGAGAGCGTGATTCCTCCACCTCCATTTTTCTTTCTCAAGATTGTTTTGGCTATTCAGGGTCTTTTGTGTTTCCATACAAATTAAAAAATTTTTTGTTCTAGTTCTGTGGAGAATGCCATTAGTATTTTGATAGGGATTGCATTGAATCTGTGGATTGCCTTGGTTAGTATGGCCATTTTAATGATACTGGTTCTTTCAATCCAAGAACACGGTATATATCTTTCCATCTGTTTGTGTCATCTTCATTTTCTTTTGTCAATGTCTTAAAGTTTTTGGTCTTATAGTTGCAGTTCTTTTGCCTCCTTAGGTAGGTCTATTCCTAAGTATTTTATTCTTTTTGATACAATGGTAAATGGGGTTGTTTCCTTGATTTTTTCCCTTATATTTCATTGCTAATGTATAGAAATGCAACAGATTTCTGTATATTAACTTTGTATCCTGCAACTTTGCCAAATTCATTGATGAGTTCTAGTACTTTTCTGGTAGCATTTTTAGGATTTTCTATGTCATCTGCAAACAGTGACAGCATTACTTCTTCTTTCCCAGTTTGGAATCCTTTTATTTCTTTTTTGTTTCTTCTCTGAATTGCTGTGGCTAGGACTTCTAAAACTGTTGAATAAAAGTGGTGAGCGTGGGCATCCTTGTCTTGTTCCTGATTTTAGAGGAAATGCTTTCAGCTTTTCACCATTGGATGTGAAGTTACTATGGGTTTGTCATATATGGCCTATATTATGTTGAGCTATATTACCTCTATGCCCACTTTCTGGACAGGTTTTGTGATAAATAGACGGTGAGTTTTATCAGAAGCTTTTGCTGCATCTATTGTGATGACTGTATGATTTTTATTCTTCAGTTGGTTAATGTGGAGTATCACATTGATTGATTTGCAGATATTGAAAAATCCTTGTATCCCTGGAATAAATCTCACTTAACTGTGGTGTGTATGATTCTTTTTTTGTATTTTTGGAATCAGTTTGCTAGTATTTTGTTGAGGAGTTTTGCATCTGTGTTCATCAGTGATAACGGTCTGTCATTTTCTTTTCTTTTTTTTTTTTGTGGTATCTTTGGTTTTGGTATCAGGGTGATGCTGGCCTCATAGAATGAGTTTGGAATTGTTCCTTCCTTTGCAATTTTTTAGGATAGTTTCAGAAGCAGGCATTAACTCTTCTCTAAATGCTTGGAAGAATTCATTTGTGAAGCCATCTAGTCTTGGACTTTTGTTTGTTGGGAGTTTTTAAATTACTAATTCTATTTGACTGCTGGTAATAGGTTTGTTCATATTTTCTATTTCTTCCTGGTTTAGTCTTGAGAGATTGTACCTTTCTACAAATTTGTCCATGTCTTCTAGGTTGTCCATTTTATTGGCGTATAGTTGCTTGTAGTAGTCTCTTATGATCCTTTGTATTTCTGTGGTGTCAGTTGTAACTTCTCCTTTTTCATTTCTGTTTATTGATTTAGGGGCCTCTCCTTCATTTTCTTGATGAGTCTGGCTAAAGGTGTATCAATTTTGTCTTTTTGAAGAACCAGCTTTTAGTTTTACTGATCATTTCTATTGTTTTTTAGTCTCTATTTCATTTATTTCTGCTCTGATCTTTATGATTCGTTTCCTTCTACTAACTTTGGGTTTTGTTTGTTCTTCTTTCTCTAGATGCTTTAGGTGGAAGGTTAGGTTATTTATTTGTAACTTTTTCTTGTTTCCTGAGGTAAGCGTGTATTACTGTAAACCTCATTCTTAAAATTGCCTTTGCTCTGTCCCCTAGATTTGGGATCCTTGTGTTTTCATTTTGATTTTTCTCTAGGTATTTTTTTGATTGCTTTGATTTCTTCAGTGATCCATTGGTTTTTTAGTTGTACGTTTAGTAGCATATTGTTAGCCTACACGCGTTTGTGTTTTTTTGCAGTTTTTTTCTTGTGGTTGATATAATCCCATAGTGGGGTTGGAAAGATGCTTGATATGATTTCAGTTTCCTTAAATTTAGTGATACTTTCTTTGTGGCCCAGCATGTGATCTATCCTGGAGAATGTTCCCTATGCGCTTGAAAAGAATGTGTATTCTGGTGCTTTCAGGTGGAATGCTCTATAAATATCAATTAAGTCCATCTGATCTATTATGTTGTGTAAGATGTTTCCTTATTGATTTTCTGTCTGTGTGATGTGTCCATTGATGTAAGTGGGCTGTTATTGTCCCCTACTATTACTGTGTTACTGTCAATTTCTTTCTTTATTTCTGTAAACATTTGCCTTATATATATTGAGGTGCATTTGTACTCTCCTCCCCTCCTGATTACTGTTTTTGATAATATATTTTACATTTAATTGTTTTGTATCCCTTAACTAATCATTATGGATACAGGTGATTTTACTACTTTCATCTTTTTGCCTTCCTCCTAGTCTGTGTGTGGATGATTTCCTACCTTGACCGTATGTTTGCCTTTATTAGCACTGAGCTTTTCCGTTATGTAGTTTTGTTTCTAGTTGTGGCTTTTCCTTTTCCTTCTAGGGAAGGTCCTTTAGCATTTGTTGTAAAGCTGGTTTGGTGGTGCTGAATTCTTTTAGCTTTTGCTTGTCTGTAATGCTTTTGATTTCTCCATCAAATTTGAATGAGAGTCTTGCTGGCTAGAGTATTCTTGGTTGTAAGTTTTTCCCTCTCATCACTTTAAATATATCCTGACATTGCCTTCTGGTCTGCAGAGTTTCTGCTGAAAAATCAGCTGGTAGCCTTGTAGGAGTTCCCTTGTACGTTATTTGTTGCTTTTCCTTTGTTGCTTTTAATAGTCTCTCTTTATCTTTAATTTTTGTCATTTAAATTATAATATGTCTAGGTGTGTTCCTCTTTGGGTTAGTCCTATATGAGGCTCTCCGTGCTTCCTGGACTTGGGTGACTGTTTGCTTTCCCAAGTTAGGGAATTTTTCAGCTATTATCTTTTCAGTTATTTTCTCAGGCCCTTTTCCTGTTTCCTCTCCTAAGAACTGTCTTTACTGGGAAACAGTACTTGCTCATTTAACTGACAGAATATGGAATTTTATGAATTAGGTCTCTTGCATTCCCAGAGGTAACTCATGTCAGTTTGTACATCCTTCCAAACTTCTTCCTGTGCCAACAAAAACATACACATTATTGAACTGGAAATGAGGTGATGCCTTTTCCGTACACATGATCTACCGTGTGCTCACATGTGTATGTATGTACACATACACTTTTATAAAGCAAATAGGGGTTTTGCCATAAGTAATTGTTCTGCTAATTGCTTTTTTAACCTAAATAATCCTTGGAGATGGTTTGTTATGAATCCTTCAAGACTTTTTCAGTGCATATCTCGATATATGCATGTATAGATGCATATATCCTTTTTTTTTTAAGTGACATCATATGCATTGTTCTGCCAGTTACTTCTCCTTAAATAAGTGTTGATGAGTTTTAGTTCTGCCTCTTTCAGTTAGTGGCTGCATATTACTCGTTCATTCCTTCATTCAGTGTGTGGCCTGCTGTGTTCTGGCCCATAAGAGCAGATGTGTTTTGATTTATTTAGCTGTTTCTAGGTCTTCCTATTATAGTTATGGTGTGGTGAGCATCTTTGACCCAGCGATGCCTCATAGGTTTGTTAAGTCACGGGGTACCCACATTTAAAATTTTGATGGAAACCAGGAAGTTGCCTTTTTTTTTATGTTCCAAAAATGTTTTATTTATCAAAATTTTAATTTCATATAATTTTCACATGTCATGAAATATTACTGTTCTTTCTTCCCCAACCATTTAAAAATGTAACAAGTTGCCTTTCAAAAGGTTATGCCAATTTATCTTTTCACTGGCAACATGAAATTTCTTGATAGATATACCCTCCCCTTCCTGGGTATCATAAATTTAAAGATTTGTTCATCGTATTATCAAACTTTAGCCTTGTCAGCTTATAAAGGTGCTTGTTGCCACGTGAGCCTCTCAGAGCAGGGCGGAGGTTTCCTGGGGTCACAGTCAAGCCTGCTGCCCCCACTAGTGATGTGCACCTGGAGGTGATGTCAGCCGCTGGGCCCTTCACCCGCCTTGGTCGTGTCACTGTCACTTGGGCTGACCTGTGTGTTAGAGCTAGCCCAGTGCTGCCCCAAGCCATGACACCATGTGGTTGTTTCTCAACAGGTGGCAACTGGGAAGTGGAAGCAGATAAGTAAATACTGTCCCCTCGATCTCTACTCAGGGTAAGAGAACACTTCTCCTCTGTCCCTAGTCCTGCCTTTCTTGGAGGCCGGGGTGGGAGGGTGGCATTCTGTGCGGTGTAGGGGGGATGGTGGTTCTGTGAGGTGGGGGCTGCTCACCTGCAGATAACCAGGGCCCTGTGCCTCCATAGGTTTCTGCAGGTTACCTGCGGGAGACGGCATCTGGGGAGATTTTGTCAGAGGAAGGGGCAGAGAGCAGGGCGGGTCAGTGATGGGGGTGCCTCTGTGAGGAGGGCTGGGGGCAGTGCAGCTCCTCAGCCCGTAAAGCTTCGAGACCTCAAGTGGTAGCTGTGGGCATGGCCCCTGAGCCACAGGCAGGTGAATGCCCAGTCCATTCTAATTCTGTCAATAATATTTTCCCCTTTTAGGAATAAACAGAGAATGTACTTTGCTTTGAAAAGCTTGTTACAGGAGGCACAGAACAACTTAAAGATATTTAAGGTAACAGTTGCTTCTATTTTATGGCACTTTCTGGGGTGGGGCTGGTGGGTTTCTGAACTGAGCTGGGTGAACCCATGGCGCTTTGGTCCCTGACAGGGCTCTGTGACCTTGCAGGCAAGGACATCTGGGCTGGGCTGCCTCGGTATGATCCTTTGGGTCCTTTTTCCAAGCCTACACACACACATGTCATCCCGTGCTTCCTGGGGTGTGTGACGTTGACCGCTTGACCACTGGGTAGCCTTGGGCTCCCTTGTCGCACAGACCCTGGTTCTGGTTCTTGGATGAAGGCGGCCCTGGCTGCGTCCCAGGCGTCCTTCTGTGTGGTTGACGTGGGAGCGGGACCTGGGGTGGGGCAACCTAGAGGGTGGCCACCCCTGTGCCGTTCCTCCAGGTTAACTTAGGGAACTTGTGATTGGGGGACCTCCTTGTCAATTAATGAGTTCTCAGAGTCCTGCAGCTCTGGTCATCCTGCTTCCTGACTGCGTAGGAGAAGGGATCTGCTTGCTGAATATTTACCGTCGGGCACAGACGCCTCTGCTTCCTCACTGCCACCTGCTGTTGGCGCCCTGACCGGGCTTGCTGAGGTCCGGTGGTCGCCTGGCCTGCTGCTGGCAGGAGTCGGGCATGCGTGGAGGAGAGGCTGGGTGGCAGGGGCATGGGGAGAGAGGCTGCCGGGGCTGGGGAGCAGGGCTGGCCCAGATCTGGAGGAGGGCTTGGTGTGGCCTGTGTTGGAGCTATGTCTCCTTTTCTGCTCATCACTGACTTTGCCCCCAGCGCTGGTTGCGTTCTCATTAAGTGTGACATATGAGTGAGAGCTGATGACAGGGTCCAGGCTCACAGGCGTCGGGTCTGTGTGGAGGAGCAGGGCTGTGGAATCTGGACAGCCCTGTGCTTCTGCGTCCTGCTCCGTGTGGCTGGTGCTGTGCTGAGCACTGGGTGCCCTCAGAGGTGGGCTCGGGAGGGGCGGGAGGGAAGCCTCTTTGTGACTTCTTCCCCCGACGTGGCTCAGAACTCTGGTCAGGGTGAATCGGCTCTACCCTTTCTGCCTGCACCTTGCCAAAGCTAGAAAAAGAAGCCATGTTTTAAAATCAGTTTTTATTCTGAATTCTTTTAAAGACTTGAGGAATTTTATATTTAAATCCTAAAGACAAATTCCCTTTCATCTGGGGATTTATTTGGAGCCTGTAGTGTGGTTTTGTCCCAAGTGGACCCTGTTCTGACTGCCCCCCTGGACTAAGCGGTGGCTCTTGCTTGGCCCCTGGCCCAACTGCCCTGCCCTGGGACCTGGGACCGGGACCCTGGCTGTCTGCTGCTTCTGTTGAAATCAGCATGGGAAAAAGATACAGGAGTTGAGATCATAGTCTCAGAAGAGATGGATTAGGAGAAGTGACATGGAACGGCTTTTTAAAATAATACCTGGAGCGACGCAATACATCGTCGCAAGTGCCACGGCTCCTCAGGAGCAGGCGCTCTGGCTCCGAAGCGCACGCCTTCCCTCGCTGCAGGGTTTCAGGTGTGGAAGACCAGCTTCCTGGGTCATGGTTGGTGCCCCCGTTGTGCTGCCTGTTGCTGGGGCCTTCTCCTTGTCTGAGTGTTGTTCACAGACTCCACGGCTGTGGCTCTGTCCACCCCATTGCAGGACACTTGTGAGCCGTGGTGGGGTTGTCACCGACCCTGGGACGGTAGCTGTCTGCCACATGTCACATGAGGTCCTCAAGCAACCATATTGGTATATGGAAAATGCCCTGGATTTCTCCCTGGATTCCAGGCCTTAGGGAGGGGCCTGCTACTGTCCAAGGGTCACTCAGCTGCTGCTCACAGGCCTGGAGGAGGGCATCCTGGGCTGCAGGCCGAGCCCGGGCCCCTCTCCTGGCTGCAGCCTGTGTCGGCTGTGTGGGCTTAACACTTCACCTTGGCCTGCGTTCCTCCTGGGAGCTCCTGCTTTTCCCCTTTGCTTGATACACCCTCCTTCCTCTGTAAGGCCCTTCTCCAGGGTCAGGGTCTCTGAGCTCTGACGGCGCTGACAGGGACTCCCAGGGGAGGCACCTTGCTGCTGAATCCCAGGACCTTGCTGAGGGAGGAGTGCCCAGTCCACCCTTCTCACTGGATTGAATTGACCCCCCTCTGCCACCTGGGGGCAGAGTAGGGGTCCTCCTCATTTGCATTATCCACTACTGCGCAGCGGCCACGTACCATCTCAGTTTCTGTGGCCGGGAATTAAGGGGCAGCCTAGCTGGTCTGGCTCGGGGTCCCTCTTGAGGCTGCGCCCCATCTGAAGGCTCTGCTCCCAGGATGGGGCCCCCCACAGCCACTGGCAGGAGATCTTAGTTCCTGGCCACGTGGGGCTGCCCAGTGTGGCTGCTGTGATCTGAGAAGAGAGTCGTCAAGACTCTCTTGACAGCAGCTCTGATGATGTAATCTTGCCGGGGCTGTGCTGTTCTGCTGTGCAACAGCCAGACCCTCCCCAGGGTGGAGAGGACGACAGGGTATGAGCATCAAGGGGTGGGGGGTGCCCTGGGGACCTTCCCGGAGGCTGCTGATGGCTGTCTCCCAGACGAGGAAACCAGGGACACGGGATCCGTCTCTCCCCTGGGATCAGCTGCTGCTCAGGGGTGTGGGGACCAGGGTTCCCTTAGGGGCCTTTCCCTGACACTGCAGCGCCCCATGAGAGGCACAGGGCTGGACCCACTGAGCACCCCTGTCTGTAGCCCTGGGAACGCTGGTGGCACAAGGAGTCATAAGGATGGCCTCAAAGATGAAGGTTTCTATACTAGCGATGCTGTTGGCCTCACCCACCCTGGCTGGAGCCTGGCACCGTCTTTCACAGAGGACAGAAGCCCTCTGGGATGCTGGTGGCCAGTGTACCTCCATCCTGGTAGAGAAATTTGTCTGCTCAAAGGTCAGACTGATGCCATGTGTCCCTCAGTAGCAGTGTCACTTGGGCTATTTTGGGAGTCAGGGCTGTGGGCTACGCCAAGGTTGCCACCATGCCACATGTTCTGCTCTGAGGGTTTGTATCTCAGGCCCAGGGCTCTGGTCTTTGGTTTTTGAGAACTTTTCTTTTTCGGGTTTGCCTCTTGGTCAATGACACGGTGCTTGAGGGTGGGTTTCCCCAGAGGGCTACAGTGTGCAAAGACCCCAAATGGTGGCACGTATAAAATGGCAGGTCCCTTTGCCTGTCTAGTCGGTGGGGCCGGAGGCTCTTTCCTCCCAGCCTGCTGGAGTTGACATCTCCCCGTCTCTTTTCCTTCCTGAAGAACGGTGAGCTGATCTACGGCTGTAAAGACGCCCGCAGCCCCGTGGCCGACTGGAGCGAGCTCGCGCGCCACCTGAAGCCGTTCTTCTTCCCGTCCAACGGCCTGGCCAGCGGGCCGCACTGCACGCGGGCCGTGATCCGGGAGCTGGTGCGCGTCATCACGCGGGTGCT